GTTATTGCTACATGAAAATTTTACCAGTTTAAGAATGATTCTTAATAGATAAACAGACTTTTCTCTTTGGCAGTTTAAAATTTTTCTCTTTTTCTTTACTATTCTGAATTTTGCAGTACCCATCTAGATGTGGAATTCCTTTTTATATCTTTTTTGGCATTCAGAATGCATAGGTGGTATGAAGATTCATTAATTTCTTCATTATTTGAATGTGTCAGCTACTTATCTTCAAATATTGTCCATGTGTAATTTCCTCTCTTCCTTTAATTTAGAAATCAATTTGGACTTACGTTAGAGCCTCTTAACTGCTTTTCATCTTATTTATCTCTCCGTGATGCACTCTGAGTACATGAATCAATTCTTAAAATTCACTAGTTCTATCCTTGTGACTATTTCAGCATTTATACAATTATTGAAAGTTTTAAGTTCATTTTTTGTATTCCCAAGGTTTCTATTAAGCTTTTCGCATAGCCACAGTTTTTCATTAGTCCACTATGTTAAAAAGATAAACTGAGCATTATAAGTATCCTCATTTAAAGACTGTCAAAATGTTTCCTAAAATTAATTTTATTTAGAATACATCAGTGTTTTTATTGTTAATTTTTGTGGTTGTCAATAGTTTACTTTGGCCTCTTTTCATGATGGTATTGAAGAAATTTCTAGGTTCAAGTCCTGGTTTTCAGACCCTGTTAACCTTTGTAGAAGCATTTTAATGGCAACCTATTGCAGAACCCAGAAAGCACTGAGTTTTAGCTCTATACCTCATTGCATTTCTGTTCCACGTCTAGTATGTGGAGATATTTATATTGTTTTTTGAGCTAAGTTATTTCTAACTGATTTTTGCCTGCCCTTGTTCTGTTTCTAGAAAAGAGGCCATGTATTTAAGTGTGAACTTACAGAGCCTTCTTAACCAGAGACTTATTTAAATGTTTTATGTTTCCTTAATTCATTTCTTTATTTAGAGATTTTAATAATTTATGGCCATAGGCTTCTTGTTGAATATATTAAATGAACTATATGTATTTGCGATATATATATACATATATATATATGTATGTATATATATATATCTCAAATATATATATTTAAGTACTTTATTTCAATAAAGAATATACCTGTTTTAATTTATTTAGTTTGTTTTTATCATGCTTTGTTCCCACAAAGATTTTTAATGCATTATAAATGTGATTTGAGTTTTATTTCTTTCTTAGAATTTTTAAAATAAATTCAGAAATCAGAAATTATTTTTGACAGATTTCTGTAGCATAGTTTTATGGTCCTGCAAAAACAACTTTATTTAAAATCCAAAGAAATTCTACACAGCTTTCATGCCTCAGGCAATTATTTTCTTATTCCCCACTCAAGCTTCAGCCCTTTGCACACCCAAATAACCCATTAAATTGAAAATTGCAGTGTCTGTGCTTGTAACCTGACTGCACTGAAGTCTGTCAATCTTCGCACTTCACCAGTACTGAAGGATCCACCACTGCAAATCATGTAATCAGCCAAACACTGCTCATAATATCTGAATTTGAGAACCTATTTGGGAAAAAAAATCCATTTTCAATGCAACCCAGAACTCTTCATACTAAAACTTGGAAGTGTGAAGAGACATTATTTGAGAGCTCTTGGTTGTTCCCAAATTCAGTGTCTTGAAGGTAACAGGTACCTATGAACAACTTTAATTTACACTAATACAGATGTCTAACTCATTTGGATCAAGACCTCTCCTTTACCTCCTTTTTGTTCTATCCTAAATTATTTGAGCCAATCACAATTTTTAAAAAGTTAAAAGGTTTTCAAGGCATAGGTATCATTTGCGGAGAAAAATTGAGCTGTTTATTGTGTAGTTGAAGGAGCAGCCATAGCATATACAGGCAAGTGGATTAATCTAAGGGGATCAATTCTTTTTTCTTTTAACACTTGAAGTTAGTGTTTAATTTTTTTTTTTTTTTAGTTGCTCATAGTCATAATAAATGGTAACATAAGATTTTAATGAGAAGGAGTCAGGGACTATTGCTTTGAATTTCTTATAAGAAACATTAATCTCAGCCAGAACTTTTGGCTTCATTCTTTTGTGTGTAAAATAGTTGTTACTAAATATGTTTCTCTTTGAATACACATTTCTAATTGATCTCAGTCTACGTTTTAATGCACAAAAATCTAGCTCAAGGCCCCAAATTAAGCCACGTATGTAGGATTTTTAATTTTTTCATATCTAATTGGTTAGGGCATCTTCAATGTTTTCTGAAGGTACGAGCTCCAGTAGAACGAAGCTTCTGTGGGCGTCTTACTGTGCATCTATGGGCCACTCTGACAGTCTGTCATGTACAGAACTGGGAATCCTCCTCACAGGACTCAGCAGGCAGTAGGAAACTGCCTGGCTGATAGCATTGCTGTTATCTCTTTTAATAAAAACTTAATTTCCTTTCTTCCCTCTTATACCGGCAGATACCAGCCCCTTATTTATTTTCCTGACAGCTACCTGTCATCATGTGAGCACCCAAGACTTGCTGTTCTTATTCCCACCATTTCTTCTCTCTCCCCCCAACGCCCCCACCCCCACCCGCCCCGCGCCAAGCCATGGGAAAATGTGAGTTTGGGGCTGCTTCTAGGCAAGGCCAGCAGAGTTTCCATAAACCTAGCCCAGCTTGGCACAAAGAAGATGTGGAAGGAGCAGCCGCAGCTTGTACAGCCAAAAGCACTTGTGGAAATTCTAGGAATGTGAACCAGAAGAATCGCCCCGGGTCCCCGGGCGCTGTTCTCACAGCACACTTAGCACGCTGTGGGGCTGGACAAACAGCCCTTCCCGCTGGGCGCAGCTCTCAGCCTGAGGCTGGAAGCACGACGGGATGTGGCAGCCTGGACGCGGGGTAATGTAGTAGGTGCAACAAAAGGCATCAAATTAGAAAATGGAAACTTTTCCCTCCCTGCACTGTAATTTGCCTGTCACTTGGCTTTAAAGCAGCTGAAAACAATTTTTTGAAGGCGAATGTTTATTTCCTGAAGTCTTGTGAATAATTATAGGCCTGTTCTCTACATACTCGACATTCCACTGGCATTTCCCATAACTCTGTCAGCTCTGGCAGTTCCTAGCACATGTGTATGTTGGTGCTTTGCATGAAAAGGGGCTGCTGTTGAATGTGTGGCACCTTTGATCGGAGGCGTGTGACATGCTCTACCTACAACTCAGCAAACTCAATGTAGCATGTGTCTGTGTGTGTGTGGAGTGTGTGTGTGTGTGTGTTTCCAAGTTCATTTTCTAAATGCTGTGAGTAGGATCTACTGGGAAAATTCCTGATTTTACATCTGTCTTACCGCAGGAAGAGAAGGGCAAGCTAATGAAATTTTTATGAGCTGTGCTGCCTAGTGTTCACTGACAAGTCGTTGCCTTTCTAGGGGAAGCTTTTGACCCCACCTGGTGAGGGAGTTTGTAACCCGATGCTATTGTTGGAATAATTATAGTCTAAGGTTTTCCTGTCAGCACCCAAGTTAGCTCAGGAAAGTTATATATTTTGAAATTCTTGTACCTCGTCCTCTAAAAAATATATGCTCTGCAAAATCAGGTGGTTGAAGGCCAATAAGTTGGCCACAAAACAGCTCTCACATCGCTGAGGGAATGACTGAGATGTACATATGTGTATCAAGTTCCGCAGTGTCATGTACACTTAATAGAATTATTGATGGCCCATTTATAAGGATTTCTTGGTAGAGGAGTTCAGTTGAATAGTATTTCTTCTGAATGTTGGAATTCATATTTGGAATTCGGATTTTTTTTTATAATTAATAAAATAAGTATGACATTAGAGTTGCACCGCATTTTAGATAAATACTTTCTACCTAGTACTTTAATGTAATTTCGGTTTTTACTACTATCTTTCAGGGAAATTTTTATTCTTATTTCCAGAGGGGGAACTAAAATGTAGAGGAATTTCATGGCTCTTAGATTGAGCATGTGTATGAGAAGCTTTTTCAGGGTGCTCCTCTTAAACGTTAAATTGGTTCAGGGCTTATGGCCTTTGCAAATCCCCAGATCCAGCCTGTGATCCCTTGTGTGAGTTTTATGAATGAGCAACAGTAGTTTCCTGTTTTTTGTTTTGTCATCCAGGACAGTACAGGTTGTTGTTCTGTTGTATGGTATTTAAGAACATTTTCTATAACTTTTAATTATTTAAAAATGTATTTGATTCCAAAACTCCTGTGCTGTAGAGATATAACTGGAATTTTTGGCAATGAGAATTGTATACAGGTGTCTGTGCGTTGGTGCAGTTCTGTGGGACTAAAGGTATTTAAAAATGGTCACAACTGTACATTGGCTTAAATTTAATAACAGCACCATCTTTGAGCTCGTAAAGTGAACTTGTGCTTCTTAGAAAATCACTGTTGGAAAAATGCATCCCTAACTTTTATTCCCATAACTGTGAATGACAATGATGCTTTACTTTTGGCAAACTGATCCAATTGTAATAAACTAGCATTTAAGGCATTGTTTCCCAGAATATGTTTGTGCTATACATATATGGGCATATAAGCTTCTCCCACTAGCTCTCTAAACCATTTACCCTGTTCTTTTTTATCCCCCCCCCCCAACCTTTCATTGTATTTTCTAATTATTTTGTTTATTGTGTAATTTTTTTCAGGTCTTAAAATTTTTTATTTGCATATTTAAAAAATGTGCATTCCAATAATTAGTCATTTGAACAACAACAAAAAAATGACACTCTGATTAAACTGCATTTTACAGCCCGCAGGACACCTTGGACCAGCTTGGTTTTTACTCTAGATTTCACCCTCGTCACACCCAGCTCGTTCCTTCACCAACATGCAAGTTCTCCCCGCTCCCCGCCAGCCAGCCAGGCAGATGGGAGCGGCAGGTGCGGCCTTCGCTGTCAGTAGTTCTGATGTGCAAAGGGGCAGCACAGTCACTTAAACTGATCCAACCTCTTTGAATCTTACAAAGTTAAACGGCTAAAAGAAGTAAAATAAGAAGGCAATGCTTGTGGCATGTACAGTGCATATTGGCGGCGCGTGCCTCATTACGATTCGCCTGCTTGCTTCTCCTGTTCAATCGTTTCTTTTGAAGGCAGTGGATTTTTCTCTTGCATTTCTGTCTTCTTCAATTTCGACTTACCGAATTTCTCAATCTCAGCCATATGGGGTTTGTCAGACATGGGTGCAGAGGAAGCTGAGCGAGGTGCGCGAACGGGGGAAGTCCGATCTGCTCAGTGACCGCCGCCGAGTCTACTGTGTAATTTTTTAAATTGTCACCAGAGGATACCTTTCCACTGATCTCCAGCGAGAGTGGAAGGGAGGGGGAGAGACAGAGAGAGAAACATTGATGTGAGAGGGACACATGGACTGGTTACCTCCCTCACAAGCCCCAACCAGGGCTAGGGATCTAGACTGCTGCCCTTAACCAGAATCAAACTCCAGACCCTTCAGTTCATGGGCGATACTTCAACTGAGTCAAACTGGCCAGGGCTATTGTGTGATATTTATTTCACTGTACTTCAATGCAAATTCCTCAAAGGAATCTTACTCTATTTTGTGCACTGATATACTCCACATAGTAGGTGTTCTACAAGTATTTGTGGAAGGACAGAAGGAATAAAAGAAGTTTGGTTTAGATCTGTGTTACTTGCATTTTTTAAATCCCTGACTAATACATTCAGTCAGTACTTTGATAATTACCTTCCACACTCCTTCCCACCCCCGGGCCATCTTTAATTGCTCAGTAGACACATGAGTGCTAATTAACTATTAAATATTTTACAATGTGCAATATGGTGGTGATCTAAACTAAAATATTTGATCCTCACCCTCAAAGAGGCACAGGTGGTTGAAAACAACAAACAAAAAATGATACACTTATAATTCAGTGCAAAATTTAATTTCCGTAAAAGTCCAGAGGGAAAGGACATCAGCAAAGTTATAATAATTATAGAAGGCTTCCTGGAACAGAAAAGGATTGTAAATTTGGATAATCATATAATTATATTATATAATTATTTTTACTAGGATATATCGTGTATTTTATCCTTTGTTGTTAAAGAGTGTTTGGTTTTTCATAAAAAGAATCACTACTAGTAGCTCTCAAACTGGCTGACTACAGCTTCTAACCAGAAAGGAAGGCTTGTCAACAGATTTCACTTTCTGCTAGACTTACGTCAAGAATAAGCTGTTAGGAGAAAGTAGGGAGGTCTATATGATTTTATTCTCTAGTAAATCAGTCAAATCAAAACTCAGGGATATGATGTGGCAAAGAAAGCAGGAACCTCAGGCATGTCAAGTTTTCCCTGGAGGGAAGCCGCATAGGCAGGCAAGCACAAAAGCCACATAATCACCTTATTCATGACTTTGAGTTCATCTCTGCTGCTATCGATTGGCAAGCACTTGGAAAGAGAAGGTAGTGAATGACACTCTTAGAGAAAAGCTGAAATATATTCCCTAGTTAATTGAAAGGCTTCAACACATACCAGGCTTCAGGCAACCCAAGAACAAAGGCTGAAATTTATCATAGGTGGAAACAGAAGAAAGTTAAGATCATCCCCAAATGCCTAGGTTTTATAACTTTTAACTTTAAGTATTACAACGTATTTCTTGAAACTCTCCTCTAGTGTGTATGTTCATGAACATTGTTCTTGTTTGCAGATACCCCAAACCCAGTTGTCTATAGTTTATCAACATAATAAAGATAGAAGGGAACTGTGGTCTTGATAGAACAACGAGGATACCTCTTGCCCAGGACAGCATAGAATCCATGTTCATTCATTTATTCAGTCACTCAACAAATATTTATTTAGCCCTTTCTGTTGTAACAAATAATGATTTGATAAGTGGGGATGGGAAAATAGGAGAAACTTAAAAGTAAGGATGAGAAATTAAATGTTCGGTGTCTTTAAAAGTAGAGAACATTGCTACTACGAACAGAGAAGTGTCATAATGGGTTAGTGAAGATCCTGGATAGGAGGGAGGGAATCAGGATTAGAGGTAGGAAACAGAAAAGGCCAGACTAGGGGTATAGCAGCAAAAAAAAAAAAAGGGAGGGAGAGAGGTGATAGGAGACAGCTATGAAACATAAATAGGACACAGTAATGACTGGATAAGAACCATGGGAAATTCTTTTTTTGCAAAGTAATAAGAACAGAAGCCTGATTTGAGGGTATGGCAGAGAAAATGGAGGCAGCAGAGTTTGACAGTAAAAGGGGAAAAATTATAGCAGTAGCTAGAGAGGGCAGCTGGGTCATTTTCTATGAGAGCAGAGAGCATTCTTGTTTGAAGGCATGGGGTGAAAGCTGTGAGGAGGCACTGAAGATGCCTAGAGGCTTAATTGAGAATTAAGGTCTTGATGGTACTGGGAGGAGAGGAGCCGGGTGGTACAAAAGGAACTCTGAGCTTTAGAGGGGGAGAGGGACCTGTTTCTTGAGACAGAGACAAGGATAAGAAGTGAGAAAGTGGTGTCACTGAGTCACTATAACTAAATGCGCCAACAGATGATGACTTGATCTTACCTGTGATATAAATGCTAAAGGCAGTATTTGAGGAGCGTAATAACTTCTCTCTTATTATAACTCTATCATGACAATGAAAGCATATTCTTAGGCCCCCCTAAATTTAGAATATATCTCTCCTTCCCCAGTTTAATTTCCCCTGAGTTTCGAACTCTGATTTTTACCAAAATGTCTTCTCTTCAGCAGACTTGTTTTTTCCTCTTCATCTTTATGTACTTGCCCTGCCAGCCCACATCACTGTCCTGCATGCTGCTTAGGTACTCCTGGGGTCACCGCTCCCTCTCCTGTTACTCTGGTTCCTTCTTTTGTGGAAAAAAATTATCTCTTTAAAGATCACCACAAATTAATATCATTTGATTCTTGACTGTGCTATCATCCTTTCTTGATTTTCAATTTGATTTTTACTCAGAGCATGATGCATTTGCAGATTAATAATAGTACTTCCCTTTTCCATTAATCATGTTCTATTTTTCTATTTCCAAATATGAGTCACTTAAGCTAGTGGGCTCCAAAGGTGGTGGTAGGGAAGTACACAACCCACTGGGTAAGGGAGAAGAAATACAGAAAGTATTAGGATTTCCTTCTTTTTATCTAAAAACAAGACATTTTTTCCTAATATATAGCGTGTAAAATGGACTAGGACCTCTTATTCAGTTTGTATTCACAGTGTCCTATGTCACATATGTTATGCAAATATTCAGCATATCGTAGTGCATGTGTGCCTGGGTTAGGAAGTCTGTGCATGATACTATCCACTTCAATACCAGACCATTCTTCATTGAAAAGTACAAGTGACTTTACAAGATCCTGGCAGAAAACCCACAGAGTCAAGGTCTAACTCATAATGCAAGCACAAGCAAACAACTAGACATCGGCAGAGCTGTCACCATTATTTTGCACATAAGCTCAACAGAAGCCAGTGTTCATGAAAAAACAAGTAAGCCAAGTGTAAAAATACCTGACAAGTAGTTAGACAACAAAATTGAAGTTATTAAGACGATTTTTTCAAATACAGGTGAAGGCATATCATCATTAAGGATGGCTATAACCCTAAATGTATATTCGGCTAGTTACTAGTTAATGATAGTACATGCATATAATTTATAAATATGTAGGTATTAGGGAATTTTGCTCAACATCCTTTTACTAATGGGAGTGTATCCTAACAGTTTGGAGACCTCTGATCTAGTGCATTTTTTTATTGGAGAATATGAATAGTTTTTAATGATTTAACAAAATGTCAAGGTTCCTGCAACTATAAAATGTCACTTTGAAAATAGAAGATTCACATGACTTTTAAAAATATGCTTATTTATCATTAAGCCACTACACAGCAGAATTCAAAAGAAGCCTCACTGCTGACAAAGATTAGTAAAATGCCCCTAGGGTGAAGATGAACAATGTGGTCAATGGGCACACAGCACAGGCCCTGATTTTTAGGTAAAGTTACTATTCTCTATATATATCATAGTGTGTTCAAGTAGCCACTATAGACTCTTGGCCTTGGTGGAAGGGACCATAAATACTCTTTGCAAGTTTAATTTCACTGCTACCATAGTTTTAAATGTCCTACTTCTAAAGTAGCTTTTTTTTTTTTAGGTGATTCATTAATGGATATGTCCATTTGGAGCTTAATTTTTCTCCTTGGAATACTTACAAAGGCTTATGGAAAGGATCCTACTCAATGGTCCTATTGTGTTGGGATTCAAGCACTCTAATAATTTTGTCATCAAAGGGAACAGAGCCCTTATCATGCATTATGACCACCTGCCACACTACATTTTCAATGATGACAGAGATATTTCTTCTTTCCCTGTCATCAGTGCAATTCCATGGACTGCTATTAATTCAAGTGGACTATTACATCCAGCAAGAATTCTATAAACTGCATTTTCTTTCCAAGATTTTAAAAGCTGTATGCAGGCCCCCGGGTGTAGGTATCCTTACATTCCAAAATCGAAATGAGCCTTTGCATTTTATTAGTGTTTTGTTTAGAAATTAAGAAGATAGATCCATGAATCATTAGTTAGCCCTCATCGGTATGGTCATGAATACTATAAAACTGAAAAGACTATTATGAATTTTTTATTATAAAAATAATTTTAGAAATAGAAAATGTCTATAGTAATGACTGCTTAGAGTTACATAGTACTGTTGAAAAGTTTTCTAAGTACTTTAGAAACTTATTAATTCTCACTTTTCTCCCTGGACTGGCCAATGAAAAGACGAGAAAATTGAAGCAACAAAGTCACATGATACTCCCAAGGTTCTTTAGTAAGCGATGAAGAAGCAAAGAGTATAACCCAGAATCACATTGTGACAGAGTTCCACTAGACCAAGAAGCTATCTAAGCTATAAAGTTAGAGTATTTAACATAAAGATATTTAATGCATTCTACTCCACCTAAGAAAACTAATATCAACTGGACTATGTACTATCAAACTGTCTTTTTATGGATTACATGATTTTTGAAAACAGATTTCTTCTAAAATAGTAATGTTATGCTACTTTGAAATAAAGATCTTGAGATGCATCCCACTAGGATAAATATTAATTAAGCAGCGAGTATAAACCTCTTTGTGAAATCTAGACTTTGATATACAAAAGATCGTGGGCCCAGAAGGAGAGCTCAGAGAACATTCTCTCTGCCCGGGAACTCCGGGCTTTTATTATTGAATCCTGAGAGTGAGTAGGAGAGCTAAGAGGCACCACTTTATTGCACTA